GCTCTGGATTTGAGAACAGTCCTCTGGGAATGTTCCTGCAGCTCTGGAGTTCTAGCTTATGGTTTAGATCAGTCTCTGTAGTAAACTGAGTTTCTTGCTCAGTGACATCGCCATGGCTAGTGGTCTGCCACAGGACTTCAGTTAGCCGTACCTGCTAAAGTCAGGGCTGCATTTTGTTCTCTGTATTTGTTGATTCCCACATGCTCTAGCATTCTCCTGTTTCCTCTGCTGAAATTCTTTCTCTTTGAAGCAGACTTGTTGATAGAATTGCCAGATTATGTCCTGGGTGAGCCATTCCAGGAGGGACATTATGTCGCTACTGAAGCTATCGAGATCGAATGGGGAGGGAGGAGGAATAGCTCAATCGAAAACGAAGTAAACTTAGTTAGCAAAATACAATTTATGTTAAATTTGACAGTGGAAGGCTTGGGGATCAGTCTGGATGTGCAGATAATAGGTGCAAAATGTTCTAAACATTCAACAATGAACACTAATACCAGCTTGATTACAACTACACCTCTACCTCGATATAATGCTGTCCTCGGGAACCAAAAAATCTTACCGTGTTATAAGTGAAACCATGTTATATCGAACTTGTTTTGATCCGCCGCAGTGCGCAGCCCCGCACCCCCAGAGTGCTGCTTTACCGCGTTGTATCCAAATTCGTGTTATATCTGGTCACGTTATATCGGGGTAGAGGTGTAGTTGTAATCTTCTTCATACTTATTGGATTTTCAATAGATCGCAGCGAGGTAGCTGCTCTGCTACGATTCTGGGTCAGGGTTTCATACTTATTGGATATTACTCTTACCTAGTTTAGGCTACATAATTCTTCTAGTAATTCAGCTGGTTTTGAGTTTAGTGCATGCAATATTGTCTTCCCATTAGCATCTTGCAGAGCAAATGAAATCCCCAGTCCAGCTGATTTTCACAATGCCCTTTTCTTCTGATGCTTTTTACTTCTGTGAGTCATCTCTTAGTTTAGAGCTGTTGAACTATTTATAGTAACTTTTGTCTGTCTTGTTAATGGGAAAGTAGGGCTGAAATTGACAACAGCTAAAGATTACTAGATTGCCTATGTAGTGTATAACTACCATATTTGGCTATTGGATTATGTACCTTGCTAAGCAGCATGAAGGGAAACCTTAAGGCAAAGTCCTCCGAAATCTAAAGATGCATTTCTTCTAAAAGTTACATGCCCAAATGTGGCTCTTCTCAGCCTCCTGTAAAAGGATTATTTTGGTTGTACACCTTACATTCAAAGGAATGTACATATTTCAAGCTTCATATGGAGCATGAATTTATGGCGCTCAACCACTAGAGTGTGTTACGTTGGTAGTCCATCGATGATGACGACAAAACCTGTGCAGGAAATTTTTTGTGAGAAAGCCGTTGCACGGGGCAATCCCACTCTCTTGGCTATGGAAGCCAGATTCCAGCGGCACGAAGAATTGTTATGGCTGGGGACTTCCTTAGCTGCAGTGGGTGACCAGGATATCGTCCATGCCTTGTCGTGCTGACCATCCCCCATAGCACATTGCTGAACCACCTTCATGGCTGTTGAATCACAAATTGATTTCCTCCACCCAGTCCGTCGGAACAGTCTTTGTGTGCTAGGAAAACTGCCTTTCTCTATCTCGCTGAGGGCAAACGACCCATCGGCTACCCTCACCTGGTTTAGCCCACTCATTGAAGCAGTTTAGCGGGGTGTGGCTGCTGTCGCATGCAAACAGCTACTTGGGAGCCACAGGTGAGAGCTGGGTGTAGATGGGGACCAAAGCAGAAGAACTGCTCCCTAAGGAGCATAATGTGTTCTCCAACAGAGGTACTACCCCTCCCTAGTATCCCCCATACACCCCACCTCTAAAGTACTTGTCTGAGAAAGCAGTAACAAATTACCTGGCTCTTGACCCACCTCTAGCATGTAGTGTGGTCTTTCCTGGTGCATGTCTGCACAATACTGACGGGATAGCACATTAGGACTGAGAGCGAGCTCATCATTGGCATAGTCCCCCTACATTGCCACCTATCTGGATTTCAATCTGCACAGATGTAAGTAGAGGCTAAGTGCCAGTATGACATAGCAACAGATCTATATCTAGTTTCAGGTCACCTGGGTACTCTGGGGGCTAATAGCATAGGGCCTTGCCCATCTGGCTGGCTGGTTCATATCCTGTTTAGGGCAGTAGCGGTCAAATGTTTCCAACAGAGAGCTCTTCAGTGTGAGCTGGTCAGTCCTCTTCCTAGTGGCACTCTTATTGGTGACCTCAGCGGAGATGTCAAAGAATAAATGGACACAGAGGAAATTACCCTCCAATTCCTAAGGTTGGGTCTTCCAAGTCAGAGCTGAGGAGCAATGGAAAAAAAGTTGCTGTTCCTATTCTATGGATAAATGAAAGATTTACCACCGTGAAGACTGAAATTCCATCTCACACTTTTTGATGGCACTTAATCCTCATCACAGCCTTTTGAGGGGAACATAATCTCCACCTTACAAATAGGGAAACTGAGGCTGAAAGATGAGACGTTTTGCTCAAATCCAGAGGCACAGTTACTAGAGCTGGGCTTCACATTGAAGAACTCTGACGCTGCTGCGCAATTTAGAGTTGTAAATGTCAGCCGACGGTGTGACGGGTTGGATCACAGAAACCCCCTTGGGGGCTGCCAACTGATGTGCCAAGACTACTTCTGCCCCTGCTTTCCCTGCCAGCTTGGGACTCCAGCACCCTGTCATGTTGAGCCAGACACACCAATCTGCTCCAACACAGACCCAGGATCTGAACCACGTGCCCCAAAGCTGCAGACTTAACTAAAAGCAACTTAAGAACTGTTCCTGTCTTTAACACTCACATGCCCAACTCCCAATGGGGTCTAAACCCTACATAAATCCATTTTATCCTGTATAAAGCTTATCCAGGGTAAACTCATAAATTGTTCGCTCTCTGTAACACTGATAGAGAGGTATGCACAGCTGTTTGCCTCCCCCCCCAGATATTAATACATACTCTGGGTCAATTAATAAGTTAAAAAGTGATTTTATTAAATACAGAAAGTAGGATTTAAGTGGTTCCAAGTAATAGCAGGCAGAACAAAGTGAATTACCAAGCAAAATAAAACAAAACACGCAAGTCTAAGCCTAGTACAGTAATAAAACTCAGTACAGGTAAAATCTCACCCTCAGATGTTTCAATAAGTTTCTTTCACAGACTGGACGTCTTCCTAGTCTGGGCACAATCCCTTCCCCTAGTAGAGCCCTTGTTCCAGCTCAGGTGGTAGCTAGGGGATTTCTCATAATGGCTCTCCCCTTTGTTCTGTTCTACCCATTTATGTATCTTTTGCATAAGGCGGGAATCCTTTGTCCCTCTGGGTTCCAACCCCTCCTTCTCAATGGAAAAGCACCAGTTTGGGTGACATGATCACATGTCTCTGTAAGACCCCAAGCCTTCATTCCTCCCAGCCTGACTCACAGGAAGGCTTGCCTGCAAACAGATTCATCCACAGTCAATTGTCCTGGTTGATGGGGAGCCATCAAGATTACAAACCACCATTAATGGCCCACACTTTGCATAATTACAATAGGCCCTCAGCATTATATTTCATATATTTCTAGTTTCAGATACAAGAGTGATACATTTATACAAATAGGATGACCACACTCAGTAGATTGTAAGCTTTGTAATGATACCTTACAAGAGACCTTTTGCATGAAGCCTATTTTTGTTACATTATATTCACACTCATCAGCATACTTTCATAAAATCATATAGAGTCCAATGTCACAGACGGCTGTTGGACATTCCCCTTTAGCACTGAATATGCCCTTCTGAAAGATGCTATTCTGTAGATCCTTTTTTTTTTAAAAATCTGGTATCCATTCAGTGCTTTGTGGGAGTGACCGAAGGTTGTCCTAAGGGAGGTATTGTAGGGAAAAATGGATGCAGACTCTTTAATGACTTAATTACTTTCTAAAAAAGGAACAGATTCCAAAGGTGGAACACGAGAAGAATGGGATGGGGAGGAAAGGAAGTGGTACTGGCTCAGTCAGTTTCTGATCTTCTTTCTGAAAGTTACGTGACTGCATTCACCAGTGTCTGGTGAACTGCCCTGCTGGGACATAGTTATCATCTCTCACAATTAAATGCTTAAAGGGGCTGTTCAGTCATTACAGTTATGCATCAAAGCTTGCCATGAGAAGTCCACCAATCTATTCCCAAGGGAGGGTGGTGGTGATAAGTAACAAGGTCAGACTGCCACAAAAGGCTACAGTGGTGGTGCAGTCACTTTGATGATCCTGAAATACTTATCGCCGAGACTGTACTCATATGAGTCCTATACAGAAGGTGAGTGGAATCTAAACTGTTGTTCCTGCCCACCCCAATACACCAGAGACTCCTTAAACGGATGCTTCAAAAATTGGAAAAATGGGACTCATCCTATTGTTTTCTCAAACTTTATAGGGTTTGCTGCCTAGATAAACACTACTAGCTTTTAAAGCCTCCTCCCACCTATGCTTTTGCTATAAAAAGACAGTCAAGCCTTGTAAGAGGTGCTTTTTTAAAAGAAAAAACTTGCCCCACTTTGAGACTCTCTGATAACATGTTCTTCAACCTTTTCTAAAATCTGGGCCTGAGTGTTGTGGGGGAGTGATCCTTGGAAACCCTTGTTATCTAAATGGCAAAATGTGGATTTGACACTCTTTGCATCAGTTATGGATGCTTTCTTGTTGAGAATTGTCTCTTATCTCCAGATCCTAGAATGGATTGAAGGGAAGGAGAGAAACATAAGAGCACTGCTATCAACGATGCACACTGTGTTATGGGCTGGAGAGACTAAATGGAAACCCATCGGCATGGCAGATCTTGTAACTCCAGAACAAGTGAAGAAGGTCTACCGGAGAGCAGTGCTTGTTGTTCATCCTGACAAAGTATGTACATCTCTAGTTATTTAAAATAAATAAATAAATAAAAATCTCACGAACAATTGAAAGGTGAGCTAGAAAGCATGAGATGTGATTGCACCAACTCGTTAAATGGTTGAATAGGGAAACTGAATCCAAAAAGTGCCAACCGTGTTCTCAGGACCAGCCCCTTAAATGAGCCTCAGGCGGTTCAAATTGGGTACAAACTTCCCCCAAATACAAGGATGTTCAGATTCAGGGTTTTGGTTCATCCTCACATTTTAGTTTTTAAGATAGATTATCCATGAACTGCTACCATACTATCAAATGTCCTGCAGAGCATTCGTTTATAATGAATGCAGATGGGAAGAGCTGTTTTTTAAAGTGATCTTTACTTTTATGATTGAAAATAGAAGACAGGCTACAGTCTGTCAACAGTGTGACATGAAACAGGAGATTGATGTTCAGATTTGATCCATTAATCCCTGGTAGTCTGGGGATGCTTTGAGAGGATGGTGGCTTTGGTTTTGCTCTACCCGTGGCCCCAAGACTGGGTTTGCATAACCAGGGATGACCTTTGAGAACAATGTTTGGGTGGTGAGGCTTGCAAAATAGGGAGGGAGATGCTTCTGTTGGGGAGTTGGAATGACCTGCTGTCAGACAGCAGTACCCTTCATTGTGTGTGTAAGGTGATGGCCAATTCAGTGTCCTTTCACGAAAGCCTGAGATTAAAACCCTCATTGCCCTAATCTTGGGGCTGTAGTGCTATATTCTGGACTTGCAGGCAGCCTTCAGACTAGCTGTGAGGCACCCTCGTATACTGAAATGCTATGGGGGAGCGGGAGAGCCATGAAGTTTCATTAAGCTGTACTCAGGGTGAATAATCCTAGTAAGAGCAGGTAGGCTTAGTGAAGCAAAAGCAAACTGAGAAGCCTTTTACTTCAAGAAAAACAAACAAACTACTTTAAACTACAGTGTTTAAATGTTAGTTGTATGTATTCTAGTTTAGCAGATGGGTGATGGATTCTTTACTTTGTTCTCTTTTAGGCTACAGGGCAGCCATATGAACAGTATGCAAAGATGATCTTCATGGAGCTAAATGATGCCTGGTCAGAATTTGAAAACCAAGGCCAAAAGCCTTTATATTAAGCTACTTTCTCAACCTGTGCTCGTGCTTGTATAGTCTCTGATCACAACTTTGCCATTTTCACAGATAACCAAAATCTGGCTGGAAATTTGGAAGTTTCAAAATTGCTCATGAACCGAACACTTATCACGAAGAACAAAATGGATGTTCCCTAATGCATACATCACACAAATTTCAAAAGCACAGGAGAATTTTAGCCACATGTCTCCTAAGGGGACCTGTGTAGCTAAAATTGCTCATAATACTTTGGAAACCTATCCCATATTTCCAGAGTTAAGTGGGGTGAGGGAGGAATGCATTCTAGACAAAGGTGGAACTGTTTTGTCTTGGGACACTTGACGTCCCACTTCTGACAATGAATTCTAGTGAGACCCCCCACTTCAAGTGAGTGTAATAACTGGAGGTTATGTCCAACCTTCCAAGCTGAGATCCAAATGTAAGTGTTCGCCTCCAGGGACCTGGTTTAGGCACATAATAATTAATTAATTAATAATTCTCATTTGATATCTAATCACTTTTAGGATATTCTCAAAGACTAAGCTGAGCAACTGGATAAGTCAATATGGCAACTTAACGCCTTAAGCAGAGAACTGTACTTTACATTACAGCCAATCAGTGAAATATTTAGAACAAATTCTACAGCACCGTAGAGCAAAGAGTGACTTAAACTGAAGATCAAATATTTGATGTTACACCAGCCTAAGCTAAACACCTATTAAGATGCAATGTTCAGGGAATAGTGAACTGTGTGGGCGTGGGGTGAGTCCATAGTTGTAGAACAGGAATGATAAGCGTTTACCACATTCCTGGTGAAGCTCTACCCATAAGTAGAACTGTCTGATAGCCCATGTTTTTTAAGATTGCTATGTCAGTTATGCTGCTGCTTCAGAAGCTTCCCACATTAGTTAAAAATATTTCCCATTTGAGGGTTTGGAAGATCTTGCTTCACCATGTTTGATCAGTTCCAACCAACTGTCTAAAAGTTTCTCAGAGCACTTGGGCAAGGGGTCATGATAGAAATGGAATCTGTTACCACTTCACCCTGCAGATCACAGTACGCAAGTTATCCAGGCATGTGGAATTTGTCTGGCCTTTTTAGAAGTAACAGGGCAGTTTGCATCTTTAAAAGTTGCATTGGTCCACAGCAATAATGGCAACATACAGGCGTGTCTGATGCTGAAGCTGAAGCCTTTCTTACCTAGTTATGCGGCAAGTTCCTTTGACCCAGGCTATTTCTCCTTTTGTAAAGTCACTAGAAATAATGGTTTATTTACCACACTTCATGGTTGAAATGAAATCTCATATCTGCTTTTGCTTTAAAAGTTCAGCATATGCATAGGATGGGCAGAAAGGTTTCCATATTAATTCTTTAAGGAAAAGATCTATATCTGATGTGAAAATCTTTGGAAAGCTGGTATTTTTAAAGACAATCCATTCTTGTTTGTTTACTTTAAATTTTAATTTTCCAGTGACAAAATAGTTACGGCAAAGGCAGCATGTCAAAGGACGTTACTTTCTGTATAAAACTTCATCTTTTTGTTGTACTGGTCCATTATTTATTACCATTAACTGACAATGTGATACCAACACACACTTTTCCTTTTTATATACAAGACCTTAAAATGTTCAAGATAACCATAACAAATGATGTTATTTATTAACATATTATGAAATGTTTGTTTTTTGATCCAGTATGTGCTTGTCTTATTTAAAAAGATAACTGGAATGTGAATCATGTTCCTGTGGTTTGTTGATTTATTTTGTTTCTCATTCACGTTTGTAGATATTGTGTGAACTATGCCTATATAATAAAAGGATCTCATTGATGTAATGTACATTTTTGAAATGATAAACTACATTTGCTTTGTATCAAGTTTGTCATGGCAGAGAGCTCTGGATAACACCTCAATGTTCACAAAATACGAACTATCATTAAACTTTAAATAACCCAGGAAAAAAAACCTCCCCAAATTTAAACTTTGATTCTCCTCCAACCTAATGTTTTTATGGATGCATGAAAGTTTTGGGACCTACTTATCTCAAAATTAGTTAACTCAGCAATTCATTTATTTTCATATCTTGTAGTGACAGAGCTTATCAATGTTCAGGTTTACTGTTTGTCTAAAATTATTGTAATTTTTTTGTAAATATGCTATATACTCAAAATGAAATGTGACTAGTCTAAAACATTTGTATATATATTAAAAAGCTCATTCAATAAATTCAGGTATGTTCTGTGCTTGTAAAGAAACATCCACTTTATTATTCTGAATACAATTTGTGGGAATAAAACTGTGTAAATACAGTATAAGCAGGAGAGCTAGTGATGAAGTTAAAACTGTATTTTGCAAGATTTTTATATGTGCCTAAACAGACCCCCTTTTAATCACGTCTCAGGAAGACTGGACGTCCTCCAGCTATGCACCTGAAGTACCTATTGCTACTTTTTTCTGGAGAAACAAATCAACACTGGGTGCTCCCTAGAGACTTATGCATAGGCTACATTTCCTCTAGAGCAATGGTTTTTAAACTTCTTAGGCCGCGTACCCTCTTCCAAATGTAGTTTACCACATATCCCCATCTGAGATAGGAAGAGGCAATGTGTGGGAGCCTGCAGGGGCATGTGCCCTCCCCCCCCAGAATTTTGCCTTCCATTTAGCAACTGCTAATAGAGGTTTTCAAATTGTGGGGGTGCAGTGGAAAATGGGGGGGAGGGAAGCGGCAATGCCAGGGGGCTCAGGCCAGCCCTGCCTCGCAGGGTTTGGGGAGGGAGTGCCACCTCCACTTCCTGACTCACCGCAGCGGGCCACCCAGCCTGTCTGGGTTAGAAGGTGCAACCGAAAATAGTAACTCAAAGAAGTAACTGGTGTTGCTGCTTACCCTCCCCCCCACCCCAAATGTTCCTCTGTGCCCCCCTAGCAGGGCATGCCCCACCATTTGAAAACCTCTATACTAAATAAAATGTGTTGTCTGCCATTACAGGATTTTTCTCACATACCCCCAGTTTGAAAACCACTGCTCTAGCACAAACAAGCTGAGCAAGGAAGTTAGTCAGCTTTGGTTTCTGTTGCTAAAGTCAAACTAGATTAATAAGGCAATAATATCTTGATGCATATGAAGAACAGATATATTGCAAAAATACACAACTAGAAAATTGCTTTTTTTAAAAAACCTAAAAGGCCAGAGTCTGATTTCATTTATGTCTATCTCTATACTAGTGTTTAGAGAGGTGTAAGTGGAAATCGGGTTTTGTATGTTTGTGCTTGCTGTGCTTATGGCTTTGTGCCTATCGCCATGTCTACACTACAGACTTTGGTCAATGCAGGCTATGGTGGTGGAAAGCTGCAGTTACTGTGTTTTGTGTGTGAGCACTTACCTGCTTGGGTCAGCGCTGCCTGTACTCACCAGGAATGCTTGTGTCAAAGCACAGTGTGGTGTACCATGGATAGGTATCTCAATATAGCACTCACCACCAATCTGGTGCACTGTCTTTTGGGAAATGTTCACAATGCATGGTGGGGCAGAAATCAAGTCTTGCAGGGGTGACTAGGAGCTAGGGATCAAGCTCTCATCATGCAATTTTCTCTGTCCCATAAGAACATCCACATCCTGTAACTTTTTTGTGTGTTTTAAATTCTACACAACCACCTGGCACTCTTTGCTCTCCACCATCTCTGACCGAAGCATGGAGCCCACAGCGCTGCGCTATTGTCCTGAACGTTGCAAACACAGGACCAAGGATCTCCGCTGTTTGCAGAGCCCCAGGGAGAACCACAACAACGGGGCGACATGACTATTTGTTTCTTCAAGGACCGATTGCTCAGGGATGTAGTGAAAACCAATTCAAGGTTCTTGGTGGCATTCACAGAGCAGCTGCCAGTGGTGGAGCACCACTTCTGGGCCCAAGAAACAATTATGGACTGGTGAGATCACATCGTAATACAGGTCTGGGACAATGAGCAGTAGCTGCAGAACATTCAGATGTGAAAGACCATGTTCCTAGGTCTGTGGGCCAAGCAAACGCCAGCCCTCCTTCGCACGGATACCACAATGAAAGCAGCATGGACGGTTGAAAAGTGAGTAGTGATCATACTCTGGAACCTGGCAATGCCAAATTGCTACCAGTCAATAGGTAATCAGTTTGGAGTTGGAAAATCCACAGTGGGGTCTATTGTCATGCAAGTTTGTAGGGCTAATAATTGTCTCCTGCTATGCAGGACTATGACTCCTGGCCAAGGCATCGGAGCCTTCCCAAAAGTAGGGGGGGGCTCCTCACAGCTCCCCATGTGGTTCTCCCCAATCTGGCTCTGGCTGGGGGAGGGAGTGGGCACAGAGCTGCAGCCTGGCCATGTTAAAAGCCATGCGGGCAGTTGTGAAGAGCCACGGCAGCCCTTCCACCTGCTTGCGGTGCTGGGGGCCTGCCAAGAGCAGCCCCCGGCCCAGGCAGGTGGAGGGTCCATGGCTTTCCTACAGCTGCCAGCGCAGCTCTTACGATGGCCGGGCTGCAGCTCTGAACCCTGCACCCCCGTCTCCCCCCAGCCTGGAGCCAGATTGTGGGGAGCCGGCACAGAGTCATGGACTCTTCACCTCCACCTGCCCTGGGCCAGACAGGGAGCCCGCGGGCTGGGGACACTGGCCAGAGGCTGCTGTCAGCCCCCCGCACCGTAGGCAGGTGGAGGGGCCACACAGCGC